GCACCAGGTAAAAATCGTAGTAAATGCATTTCAACCTGAGGTGGCCGTAACTACCCAGCAAATGTGCAGATGTGAGCACCGTGTTGCACTTCTTTCAACCATACTCTGTCTTCCATAGTCTGGACACTTGCCTGTCTTACCCTGCTGCTTTATGGGTTTTGACAGAGAATCACTAGGAGCCTCGATGTAGTATGGGGACACTGTCTCTCATGTTCTGGAAAAAAAATGAGAAGGCAAATATTTCGTATTTTATACCTCTAAAATAACTTGGAAACACCTAACAGGCCATACACAGGTCCCAGTAGTTCTTGGCTTAAGCTATGATTTTATAGTATTCAGATGTCACAGTTGAAAGTTAACCAGATTTATTAGCTATGTTCTGCCAGTACTTAGCAAGGAGCTCCATCCATAACTTTCCCATTCACATGCCTGGTCCATGTGTGTTTGCAAGGAATGCAGACTTTATATTTTGTTCCTTTTTGTAACAAAGCTGCTTTTGTAGTTACCTATATAAGCAGTCCAAAGAAAGGCAACATATCACCAGTAGTAAACAAGCTACAAAACTATGTGGTAAACAGTTAGTACTTCAGAATTGCAAGATATTTTGATAATAACACCTGAAAAGAGTGAACATTTTTGGCAGAATATTTCATCAGGACACATTTTCACAGTTTGCAGGAGGAATACAAACGTAAAAAGAAAGATGTTTGCGAAAGTTCTTCCACTGGACTCAAAATTCAGTGCAAATAAACTACCAGCATCCACAGAGAGATAATAGTTCATTAAAAGTAGAGTTACCTTTTTTTCAAATGACTGAAAAATTCTCAGGGAAGTCCTGTGAGACTTTGCTACACTGAATACACCAGGCTGAAGAAGAACCGAGGTGGACAATTTAAAATCCCTCCTGATGACTCTACCAGGCCCAAAAGATCAATAAGAGTTCAGCAGCTAAGCTCTCCCACCAGAGGTGGTGGCAGAAAGCTCCTGGCTGAAGTAGTCAAATGGCTACTAGATGCCACAACCATTTTTCCTTCATGACAAAGTAAAAGAAGCTGAAATGAACAGTATTATTGAAATACGGGCAAATGCAGGTTTATCTTCTATGTTACTGCTTGCTTCCTGAAAAGAGAGAATTACGGATGAATCACCTCTTCCCACAAAGAACAAAATCTATCCTCCTTGGCACTACCTTAGGCAATATGCCTGTATCCTCACACAGCAGAAAAACAAGAGACATGAAATTTTTTTTGAATGCAACAGCCAGATGTGCAACAGCAATGTGTTTGGGTGTATGAGTGTGTGTGGGAGCAGAAAAATAGTTGTGCAGAGAAAAGAAATCTCATTTCTACCTACTAACAGATAGGAACCTCTCAGAGGTTTCACTCCTTCGGTTGGCCTTGGCTTTAACTTTTCAGCTCTTGTGGTCACAAATCAAATCAGGTGGCCTTCAGTGGCAGTATGTTGGCTTAGCAGTATTTAGAGATTACTGCTGTAAAGTAATTTCCAGTGAGGAGGGAGAAGAAGAAGAATCAGACTCTTTGAGATCTGAAAGGAGGCACCACTGTTGTTAATGTTATGAGACTACATCTGTAGAACAGTGTTTGATACCCATATGAAGAGCATGCTCTTTTTGCCTTCTGAATTTCCATGACAGGAAACTATCTGATGTCAGAAACAACAGCAGATGTTATCCTTTGACCACAGTGATTTAACATTTCCTTGCTAGTCTAATACTATTCAGGAAGAACAATGAGAAATGCAATTTTAGAACAAAAATAATCACCCATACAACAGCCTCAGATCAACTGAACTGAAGTAAGTCAAAGGAGAGTTTAACTGTGAGTATACTGTAGTGAACTTGTGCTTATCCAATAAATCAAAGTAATTAATGCTTTCACCATGCTTCTTGGTGGTGTTCCAGTGTTCATGATCTTCTCAGCCTGCATTTATCATAGGAAATAAGTAAGCTTTCACCCTTAATGTTACTATCATGTGACTGTTGGACTCTGTGAAAAAGGTTCCAAAGTTATTAGAGAGGGCCAGATGGGCAGAGAAATTATACAGTTGCACAAACCTGACCTCCTTAGGAAATCAGATGGGTTCCTTGGGGAATACTGCGGATTGTTGCACACCACTAACATACCTTCAAAATTTCACACCTAGTTCCTGATGGACTATCTCTATTTTACTTTCCTCCACTCCAGTGTACATGCAGTGACGTCTTTCCCACTTCTGTTACGTGTGGTGTCTCCTCAAACTACAGGGCATGCCAAAAAGAACAACAAAAGTTACATCACTTTTTTTTTTGTGTCACGTATCAAACATCTCAGAAAATCTCTTTCATTGTAAAATAAACACAAAAATGTCCCTTCTGTTTTATTTTAGTCAGTGAGCTTGTGTATTCAATGGATTAAACACACAGGAATTGCTCAGCTTACACAAGACAGCTAAAAAGGCCAATGACAAAGAACAGAAAAACCACACATGAGCAAAGCAGCCACACTTTGGAGCACTGCCACTTTCATCAGCATTGAAATTGGGTGTCCCTCAGGTGCACACTGGGTTGATGGATGGGGATTCATCCTTCCCCCTGTGTGGGGAGTCAAGTGGGAAGGGGACCAGAGTGCCTGGGCTGGGAGGGAGCCCCTGCCGTGCAGGTGAGTGCCTGAATCTAGGCCACCATGGACCAGCATCTCTGGGCACCAAGTGCCACTCTTGTTCTTCTGACCTAGGTCTGGATTAAATTCTGCATCTGGGTGATCATTCTTTATCATAACAAAACAGAAAAGAATGTCATGCTGCTTGCTTAGTTATGTCTTTTGTAGGCATGAAAATATTTCTAATATGTACAGATTTCACTGTTTTTATATTAATTTGTTAGTAACACTGACTTACTGACAGTGTCACTAAGCGTTGCAAAGGTAGTTACATTTTGGTATATCTTTGAAATGCAGAAAAAAAACTATTAAACTATTTAATAAGATATATTCTGTACAGTTAGGTGTACCTCCAAGGAACTAACTTTTATTAATCATTAATACTCACAAGTAAAATATTACTCCACAATAATATTCTGCTAATTTAACAAAAGAAGAAATTGAGGTACAAAAAATTAATCACAAGAAACAAAACTATACAAGGATCAGAATCTTCATAGTTTTCTGCAGATCTGTTGACATATGTAGACTTTTCATAAGTAGATTTCTTCCCTTCTCTGTAAAAATTTGGTAGGTTTAAGGGGACATGGGTAAGCAGTAAGTAAATTATGATATGCACAGGAATAGTTGATCAGTTGATCCAAATTTTTCAAGAATTACCAACCTGGTTTTGGATTGTAAATTAATTTTTTTTTTTTTTCTGGGGAGACCATTTTCATATATATTAATCCTTCTTCTGCCTCTTGCTTCTCTAACCTCCTCTGGAATTGCAGTAGAGACTGTTTAATCTGTGGATACTTAGCTTTTAAATATATCCAAACAAAGTTTCAGAATTCCTCCATTGTTTGAGCATCTTCATGGTAAAAAAGTGTGTTCTTGTGTTCAGGTTAGAAGAGAATTTATCTATAGATTGAGACCTTATCTAACAAACTAAGCCTACTTCAGACCACTTGCTGTTCACAGAGTGCAACTCCACCCAAAGCTTAACCTGATCCATGGGCTGCCATTAAAAACAGCAGTTCCAATCTGATTCCCATCCTTCCCCTCTGCTAAAATATTTTGTGGTTTAATCAGTTAATCCCAGTAAATCATGCCCACATTCTATTTTTAAGAAGCAGCCTTGTGAAAGAAAGACCAGAATCCTTGTTATTTCTTAACACAAATATTACAGAAACGGATATTAAAGCTACAGCTTTAAGTAAGGGATTAAAAAAAAATTCTGCAAATAATTGCAGATTTCAAGTCATTATATTAAGTTCAATATTTGAGTAAATAAAATACAGAAAATTTTACTTGAATGATGTAGAAAACACAAAATTCTTTTATGAAACAACTGATGACATCCAAGAGCATGATAAATACTTCTGAAATTCAAACTGATCTAGGAAGTAAACACAACAGCACACGGCATCGCATCTGATCAATCTGAGGTAAGTATGAGTGAGATATACTTCCACTGATTCTGTTTTCACAACCATTTCAAGCTAGTAAAGGCCAGTTGAAAAATCACTTTTTTATTCCTCTGGCAGTGGCAGTCATTAACAGAATGGAGAGGAGAGAAACATAGTAGGGAAAGCAGGAGATGGAAAATATAGCTTAAAGCAATTGTAATACTAGAGGGGCAGTGCCGAGATAGGAGCTAGTAACCAGCCCATAACGGCACGGAGCTCAGTGCAGGCACAGAGGGTAAGCAAACCTCTGCTGAACTCTCAGTCATGGCTGTCCCTACCCATGCCAGCTCATCTTCAAATGACCTCAGCCACTGCTCTAGTGTTCAGCGGTTATTGTCAGGAACGCAAAGCGGACAAACCTTTAGTGTAAAGATAACGTTTAATGTTGAAGGCATTGTACATAACATGTACATTCACATTCACAGGATGTGGAACAGAAAAATCAAAGCTTTCTTCCTAGTTAACTCTTTCCTGCCCTTGAAGTATAAACTACAAAAATTTTTCTTCAACAAAGCAACAGAACAAGAATTTTAACTTAACTAGTTCAAATGGCCCAAATTCTAGCTGCTTTCTTAGCCTAACCTACTACGAAGTTCATTTCCACATTGTCTGATGAATAAAACCATACTTAATTCTTCAGAAATCCAGCTTGCCTCCATCATGAATGGACCCTGAATTCTCCACCTTGTAAATTATAGCATTTCACACAATCCTGATGGAGGCTACATTGGCAAACAAGGTAGTTTCAAGGGCTAAATCTTCCAAGTAAGAAAACATGATTTGGGTTTTTTGTTGGTACTTTGGGTTTTGGGGTTGGTTTGTTGTTGACGTTTTTTTTTGGTTTGGTTTGGTTTTTTTTTTTAAGAGTAATAAAATGGATTTATGCGTTTACTTTGCTGTCCAAAATTTCTATTTTGCCTTTTTCTCCCTTTTGTTTAGGAAACTTAATGTTGTCTATTGTCACTTCATTAGTTATACAGTCATCTTCAGATTCCGAGTCTTCATCTTCTGAAGTTTCTATCTCTTCATCTGTATCAGAATCACTCAGTTCAACTACAGCCACATTCTAGAAAAAAAAAAGACTGTAGTTAACACATTACACATTTCTATATCACTTCCATCATATGAGTAAAAGTAAGTAAGGTAGTAGGCTGTTTCATGTGTTTAAGAAAACCACAATCACAACTAGAAAGACTTGGGTTCTCCTAGGATTATGACGTATCGTTAACAGATTCCTAAATATTTAAATTGTCATTTATATTGCCCGATAGCAAATATAAGGTCATTTTTATATCATTAACAAAGAGTGAATTGAGTTGATTATCCAAGTTCAGCTGTCTAAATCAGTCCAGTTGGTGAGAAGGAAAAATCAAAACTCTAACTTTCGGTAAAGAATTCAAATGAAAGCATTTAGTGCACAAGAGGTCATGAGATGTACAGAAATGTGTGGTTATATATTTAATAATATAGTTTATGTCTTACAACCTAGTAGTATTCACAGCACTACAACTATGGCAAAGTAGCAAGTGGAATCATAGAATCATTAAGCTGGAAAAGACTTCTAAGATCAAGTCCAACCGTCAACCAACACTACCATGACCATTAAACCATGTCCCCACATCTACACGTGTTTTGAACACCTCCAGGGATGGTGACTCCACCACCTCCCTGGGCAGCCAGTTCCAATGCCTCACCACTTTTTCAGTAGAGAAATTCTTCCTAAAACCCAATTTAAACTTCCCCTGGTACAACATGAGCCCATTTCCTCTTATCCTATTGCTGGTAACCTGGGAGAAGAGACCAGGACCTCACTACAATCTCCTTTCAGGTAGTTGTAGAGAGCAATAAGGTCTCCCCTCAGCCTCCTCCAGACTAAACAAGCCCAGTTCCCTGAGCTGCCCCTCGTAAGACATGTTCCCCAGACCCTTCACCAGCTTTGTTGCCCTTCTCTGGACATAGTAGCTTAAACCACCAGGATATCTTCTGAAGCAAAAGTGATCATAGATTTCCATATGCACAGCCACAACTGTTGAGAGCTCTGGTAACCCCCATTTTAAAAATTTCCTGTATGCTGCTAAGCAAAATACAGGAATTTGATGCAAATAAATTTCTTGAGTGATTTGCAAGTAGCATTATGCTATTTATCATGAGGTCTCCTGGCTTGCTTATTAGAAAGCCAAGACACTTCTCAGACAGTGTCATGTGAAAAATCTTTCAAAATTCCTGTCCAAGTCACCCACTCCACTTAAGCATATTATAACAAAAAAATTTCACAATCCACTTCATTTCCTCACTATTTACTTGGAATTCTTCAGCATATACCAGCACTGGGCCACCTGTTGCATCTAGTCTGGATACAATCTACAAGAACTCTGAATCCAATCAGTTGCAAATACACTGTTGTGACAGCTCACACACCAAGCCCCAGGCTGCCTTATTTCTGCCTTTTATCATGTGGGTCTGAAGGCCAAAAGGCACTTCTCTGGGACATGCACATACCACACCACCTTTGTATTAACATTTTCTTACACAAGCATGTGGCTGCAGCACTTTTGTTAAAAACAGAAAGAAAATATTGATGTGAATGTAAATCAAAAGACAAATACCAGCCATAAAGGATCACAATAACTTTTCTAAACCCAGGGCCCACGGCTAGCTCTAAAAATACCTACATAACACAGCTGAAAGCCAGTTATTACTTTTAAAGACTTCTGTTATGCCTTCCACTGTCCAGATCCTAAACCAATTACCCATGAGACATTTAAAATATAATTTGTGATTTATTTTTGATTCAGGGTTGCCAATTCAAAAGTACATCTTATCCTGGCCTTAAACTACTTCATCTACAGTCGTTAGACTGCAAGTATGAAAACCAAAGAGTAGGTTTTAACCAAATAAGCATTTTTATTACACCTATGTTTTGAATTAGCAGATCACTGATTAAAATGGTAAGGACTTAGCCTTACCTGTCAAATTAGCTCATTCTAAGATCAGATAATTATTTTTATCACACCTAAATTTCCTTTATAAAATAGAAAAGTACAGTATTTACCATTTCTATAACTTTTTCTGTGGCACTGTCTATATTTTCAATATCAAACTGATGAGCCGGTGCTGTTACCATTTTTCTTCTTAGCTCATCATTTGCATGGGCCATCTGTGGTAAAAAGCACTGTACTCGGTCCAAAACTAAAAAAGAAATAATTATCACTTATATATACAAACAGATACGTGGTAATTTATAGATGTAAACCTCAGACATTGAAGCATTTAAACAAATTCAATTTCAACTGTGATTTTAACCTGTGCACCAATTTAGGATGTTTTAATAGGAGGATTTATTACAGTATTCAATTTCCCAAGACAAACAGCAAAAAAGATATCCTACCTGTTGGTCAGCATTTGTTGCAGGAAGAAATAACTTCCAAAATTCCATTAAGATACTTAAAACAAAACATGACTACTTTACAGAAAACTTGCTTCTAACTTGCATGGTTTATGAATACAATCTGAGTGCCATCTCGAGAAGTGTCCACATCAGCATTACCTCTGATGGAGATATTATTATGTCCTACTTACCTCCCTATTAAAGTATAGGCTGAAGGTCTCAAAGCAGATGGAAAAATAAGCTGTAGCACAGGTGCTACGCTACACTAAAGGATGTTCAACATAATTTTCAAAAGGGGCTCTGAAATTAAGATAACATAAGAGAGACGGATGCTCTAGGCTGAAGTGTAAAGCACTTATCCTCTGCAGGAATATCCCTCTAAGCTCAGTGGGACTTCCCAACAACTTTAAGATCATGGGTGTCATAGGAGAATCACATCTATTCCCCTTCTTCATCTGCCTCCACAGTTTCTTCAAATAACCTTTGCTCCACACCTGCAGAGGATCCAACCACCAGTTTTCACTCTCTGTGAAGAGGTCCTGTTCCAAGTGAGCTCCACAGGAGTCTAACAAGTATAACCTGTTGTGGTGAGCAGAGCCCGCCCTAGGCAGGGATCGGCGTGCGGAAGATCTCGCGATGTAACGGAAAGCTCAGACTGCCCACGAGGGGCCTTGTGGGCGTGGCTTGTGCTATATAAGCAATTGCAGCTGCACAATAAACGCCATTTACAACACCCTTCACATTGAAGCCTGTGTCTGCTGATGGTACCCAACGGCAGAGGTTGGGTGGCAGAGATCCCGGGGTCCAGGTGTCAGTAACGACATAACCCACCTTCAAAACACCGTCATCTTTGTAGAAACTTTTATCCCAGAAAGAACTCGATAGAACAAATTGGGCTTCTCTATTATTTTTACACCTCAGCTCAATCACAAAATACAGACACAATAATTTGACAGGAGTCCATTTTAAATTGAAAGCTTTTATAAACCAAATATTTTATTCTGGGAAATAACTTCTGAAAGGAGATAAGGAGCCCAGATCAGCAAAAAAGCAACAACCCTCCGCTGGAAAAGAACAATCTGAGATTAAAGAACTCTGGAATATTTTAATGAAGAGAAAAACTCCTGAAGATATTACTACTTTCAAGAACAACATATTTTACACTACGTCCTTTTATGCTCAGAGGTACATGAAGAGAACGTTAGCAATCTGTATGTAGCTTTGACTAAGAATGAAGGCACTTAGGTCAATTAAAGAGAAAAAAGCTTTCTTGTGCATTCAGATTAATTTGTTATGCACGAATGCTTATATGATCTGGACTAATAATTTTTTTGCCAGAGTATTTATTAAAAATAAAGTTCTGAAAGTGATCTGTGTAACTTGGATCATTTTGAAAGCAGCTGACTAAATGAAGGCCGAAGGTACAGCCTGGAGGATTCACTGTTTGCAGACAACGGGGGTACTCCTGCAAGGGGAACTAAATCCCTAAAACTTAGATCTGTAAAGCCTAGCCCTGCAAAAAATCTAGTTTTGCAGAAGTAGCAGTGATATGACTAACCTGGGAGACAGGCAACTGCCATAGCAGACGTTGTACCAGCAGAATCAGAACACAAGAGTTTCTCTTTTTACTAGAGCAAGGAAAGCTCTGAAGCAAGTGTTGCACCAAAGATGTTACCCACTACTTGACGCCGTTCCAATAACAAAATCCTACTTACCATTACTCCTTGGCATCCTGGCTGTCTGGAAAGATGTGGCCTTCTTGCTGCTACATTTTGAACTAATCAACAGAGCTTCTTCCAGCCCTGGAAACAAACAAGTATCGAATGTTTATGTGTCTACTGCAAATGTTACATTTTAACTGTGAGGCTCTCTTCTGGCTACTCTTCCAGCTTTCTACAACAACCCCAAACAAGAGTATTCAACTGTCTGCGATTTCAGCGTTCCCACTCTGCTCTCCGGTGAATATTGTTTCTTGATGTCTGTTTGGGGTAGTCATCTCAGTACTTCGGTACATAGGAGGTAGCGAATGTCTAGAATCTGCTACCATAAAAGGCTGTGAAAGCTGATGGATCAGCAGGTTCGACACAGAACTAGGCAAGTTCAGGGCAGCAGAGTCATAAACACCTAGAAAAAGGACTGAGCAGGAACATGTGTACCCCTCAGCAACCCTGCCCCCACAGTTTGCAGACAGTGGGCTGCGCAGTGGCGAGCAGTGAAAGCAAGCCACGCACGGCAGTTCTAATGACCTAAATTAGCTATTCCAGTAATTACCCAAGAACAGCGCCGTAAAACCCAAATGACACAGGGAACCTGCACAGATTAGACAAGTTCCTTCTTCGGGCCGCCCACACCGCCGTCAACCCCTCGCCATTGACTGAAGTGAAGCTTTATCTCTTTTTAGCATCTTTTTATCCTCATAGCAACGTCGTTACGACCGTCGCCACTCATCTCGCCGAGGTTTCCCACTCTATCTGCCTCGCGTCACCGCCGGCGGCATGGCGAGCGGCCCCTTCCCCGGCTG